AAAAAAAAAAAAAAAAAAAAGTTTAAAAAAAACCTGTGTCCTAGACATGCTAAGTTAACTATGTCAGAAATGTGACTCCCAAGACAGCTTTTGCCAACCCCAAAGGAGGAGACTTGGGCTCCAACTTAACTCAGTTACACTGCTTTTACAATTTTGATTAAATTGCTTTTCTTTTTGGCTCTGGCTTTACTTGACCAGAAGACAAGAAGACTGGGAGGCTGACTTCTAAAACTTTGTTGATCTAGAAGGCTTTACTGCATGAGCCCGAGGACAGCTTAACAGACACCAAAGCACCGACATTGAGCTCAACTCCAGAGGAAGAGTCCTCGTGCCTGAGCCCGAAGCTCACTGTCCACAAATGTAAATGCCTGTAGACACCCCGAAGGGCCAGAGTGAAGCAGCTGTGTAAAGAGTAAGCAGGCTTGGAGGGGTGCGCAGAAGCCTGGGATCATACCATACTGTCTTCCCCAAACTGCCTTGAGGGCTCCCCAGGGGCAGCATCTCTTCATCACAATATGGTTCATTTAAGGCATCCTTTCACACATGGTTAGTCAAGGGCCTCAGTTAGTAGAGAGAGTCTCAGTCAGATCACCCCAAGCAATCACACGTCTCCCAGGGGCTGCAGGACCACAGGCAGTGCCTGTACCCACCTGGGGGTTGGCCACACCCACCGCTGCACCCAACCATGCCCAAGGTCAGGAACAGATGCTTCCATTTGGGAGCAGCCATGGAAGTCACCATGAACTGCATCACAAAGCATACTCCTATTTTCCAAGACACACGATGACCGCAGAATCTTCGCTGCAGAATGCCAGTCTCCCTGTACATGTGGCTCCCGCCTGGCTTGGGACACCTCAGGGCCGTGGGCGTAGTGCGTCTCCCCCTGCCTGTCAGCTTGGAGCCCCACGTGGGACAAGCACAGTCAGGCAGCTGCCGTGTCAGCCACACAGGTGGCGCCGGCCCCTCGGGAAATACAGCCACAGGCTCATGGCACACAGCCACGAAGGCGCACTTTACTTCTAGGTGTCCCATCCCAACGCGGCCCACACACGCGTGCACATGAGCCTAGGAACTGGTGCACAATGAATTATTTTGGTTTTGGAATTCTCATCTCTACTACCAGAGAGCACAATGGAAACAGAGACTACAGATCTCAATGCTGTGTGACTGGACTCAGAGGCACCTGGGCAGAATGTCCACCTTGGAAAAGTTGAATGCATTTACTAGCTTTTTTCCTAAATATCATTAATTATAAAATTATCCCTGTTGTGGTACTTTGAGGGAAAAGTAAGAAAAGAAACTTGAAATCTAGCCTTCCAGAGACAGCAACTGGATACTCCGCTACACTATCTTCCAGTCTGTTCTCTCTGCATTTTGAAATGATGAAAATACAGTCGCATGTCAAGCATATGTGCTTTCTCTGTGCCACAAGCACTTTCTCAAGCCACTAACGATTCTGCAAAAGGCTGTGTGCACTTGCATTGTTGACTTCTCCCAGCTTAAGGCTCTGAATTATGCAGGAATACACATCAGTCTCTGAATTTATAAAAACTTCCCTAGGACTGAGGCCTAGACAGCGAACTGCTGGGTTAAATATAATAATTATTTTTAAGTGAAAGCATCTATTTGCATTCGGGATGTGCAGGCCCAGCTGCAAGAGGCGTCAGCTCCCTGTGAGCTGTGGGCATCAGGATTTCAGCTGCCCAGGTTTGCTGCTGCACGGAGCTGAGGCATCCAGGCAAACGGCTCTCAACCGACTGTGGCCATTGCAGGGAGGGACACCTGGACCACAGTCCCCAGGAAAGCAGGCCACTCGAGGGGAATGAACTACCCAGAGGCTCGGGAGCACGCCCAGCACCAGCGCCTGGGTCCCTGGCAACGTCCCCCAGCCTGGCAGGATCCTCGGTGTGCACCGGGCTCAGGAGCTCTGGGACTATAGGTGGAGGGCGGTGGACGAGGTGGCAGTAGCTGTGTGTCCTCTGGCCTGGACGTGGCCAAGTCACTCCAAAGTCCCACTGGTTACCAAGTGAGGTGACTGTCCCAAGACACAGAGATCCTGTGCACACAGAGGACACACCACACCTTCAGAGGCAGACAGTGACCTGCCTTTCAGGAGGTTTCTGATGAGGTGCAGTGTGAGGGTGCACTTTCTTCCAGTCCTGGCCCAACCTTGCCAGTCCTCCTTGGCTGAAGAGGAGGAGATAGAGGAGGGGGAGCATCGGCCTCTTGGGGGTCTCGCACAGCATCAATGTGGTCATGGGCAGCAGGGGGCAGCACCTGAGAAGCCAGAGTCAGCACGTCTCTGTCCTCCTCTGCTGGGCACACAGGGCACTGCATGCCAGAGCACCACATGACAACCATGGCCACGGAAGATGTGTGTGGGACCATCTTGGCTCTGAACCACTATGACTGTCTAAGGAGGCTGCTAGCAGCCCAGAGAAAGAGAATCGTGAATGGTGTCCAGGTAGATTGCTCAAGTATATCAACAACCCTATTGCGCATCGTGACAATGATGATGATGACATCAATGCTTCTAAGCTCCATGCTGGGTATCTCACAAGCATGGCCTGGCTGGGCTCTGTCTTAAAGATAAACACACGATGGGGCATGGAGAGTGCCCTAGACACATGTGTATCAGCCCCCTGGTCTCCCACTTTCAAAGTCATAAGGCCCAGGCTGAGCAGAGCCCACGTGGATGCTGATGGTGGGTCAAGGAGATGCACTGTTCAAAGTCACTGCAGTCGAGTGGTCATCTACATTGGCTGGCCCATAGGCTAGGCACTTGCACTTCTTGGAAAGATGAAACAAAGGTCAGGGTCCCATGCTGGACTGCCTTCATGTATTAAAACAAGCAAAGTAAATGCACACCTTGTACTCACGTCACCCCCTCGTCTAGAGAACCGCAGTGCTCAGAAGACACAACACTCCAGACACTCTACTTCCATAGGACAGACAAGAGGAACATTCTTGGATTCTAAAACCTACACGATGGTGAGTTGATCACTAGAATATCACGGAATGACATAACAATATTCACCAAAAGTCCATTTGCAACAGTATTGTAACCTGGCCCTGAACTGACCTCCTTCCTCACCCAGAATCTTTACTGAAATGTAAGGATTTTTTTTTAACAAATGCCAATAAAAATTCTCTGACCACATGGGCCACAAGACCAAAACAGAAATGTCAGGGGTTGGAGAAAGGTGCTGATTTCACAGGATTCACGCGAAGAGACAACCAGGTGGTGGGAAAACTGAGAGCACAGGACCCAAACGTGAGAAATGGCCCTTGAGAAGCTTGAGGTTCTTGCCAGGCCTTCACAGGCAATGACCATTTTCCTGGAAGAGGGTCTCAGCAAGCAGGAAAATCCCCTACCTCCACCAGAGTGCCGGCCATGTTTTCAGTAGCTTCGGCTGAGTGCAGTATCCTTTTCTGCAAGAGGGGATAATCATATTCGACTGACACATGGTGACTTGGTTTGTTGCTACTATTATCTTCTTGACAAAACTTGCAGAATGTAACCAGGTGATCCTCCATCTCCATTGTCCTCATGTGGGCTGCCATGGGTGCTCTCCTATGAGGCGCTGGCCTCAAGGGACTGCTAGTGGCTTAGCTGTGGCCAGCACTCTGTGTACCCTTCCCAAGATGTTTCTGTGCAGCTCCAGGAGCTAACAGCCTTGTGCTCCATCTGGTGCGTTGGCCCCCACTTCTAGGGAAGCTATGGACCCAAGTTCTGAGGCATACACAAACTCTTCAGAAAGGCACCAAGGAACACTTACTCTTCAGAAACTGAACACCTCTGCCGGTGTATCTGTGCACACGAAGGGGCCCGCCCATCCACTTCTGGCCATATGTACAGTGCCTCTGCTTTTATCAGGGCCAGTACAGAAGGCATGCACACTTGGCCCCAGCTTTGCCTGCCCTGGCGCCTGCAGGGAAGGGCTCCACTGGGTTGCAGTACAAGGGTCAGAAGTTTTATTCTGTGTTCATCCTGAGAGGTGGATCTTGCTGATGTCCCATGCCTCAAAGAAGGATGCTTGCAAACTCTGAATGATGTGGGTTTAAACAGTGGCAGACAGGGACAGGGATGCTTATTTGACCAATAGTTTCATTCCACATGAAGCACAACCTCCTGTGTTTTCTCGGTCATTCTGGCTGTCTGCTGCAAAGACAGCATCAAAACCTGCAGGCTGGCTCTTAGGACCAAACTCCCAGGACAGACTCACATGTGACGTGTGCCATGAACTGGTCTGGAGAAAGGACACGAAGGCATGACTCTCACAAAGGCCTTGCAGAGCCTTCTGCTCAGGCCAGCTCTGCTTGAAGAACCAGCTCTGCAGTAAGAAAACCTGGGTTTACACAGGAAAGGCCAATGCAATATGGCCCACAGGCTATGCTGTATTTGGGAAGGCAGGACACCCTACAAAATGAAAAGCAGTCAGCAAACAGAGCTGTGAGGTCCCTGCTGTGAAGTGTCCTAGTCGACGAGGCCACTTCTATGCTTACAGAGGCAGATCCTGGATCTGCTGCTTTCCAGAATCCAGGGATTTGTTAGTAACTCTGGGGCCCATGCCTGGAGGCTGTGACTCAGGTGCTAAGCTGTCCAAAACCTCCATGGGAGATTCTAACACACAGTCACGCTGGAACTGTGCAAGCCGCCAAGCAGAAAACATAACAGAGGAGAGGGCTCCAAGCTAGGGGCCATGTTGGCCATGGCAACGACCTACCTTGGACCACATGATTCCCAGTGGCTTTGGGCGCTGGCAGTCTGTGGCGATGACCCTGGTGGGAGTGAGGATGTAATCGACAGTGATGTCGTGGTCCTCCAGGAGCGCTTCAGGAATGTCCACGACCTGCTCAGACAGAAGTGGGATCAGGGCTGGCGGGACACGCCCTAGCCGTGTGTCCTGCCATGTCGGCGGGAACGCGAGGCTGCTCAGACGCCTCCAAAGCCACCCTTGGGCTGAGGTGCGGCTGCAGTGTCACCAGCAAGTCCAGCCTGGCCGAGCAGGGCGACGCGACTTGGCATAGACAATCGCGTCTCTCCCACCCTGGCTCTCTTGGGGGAGCACAGCAGTGGCCCTGCTCACCCCCCTTCCCAGGAGGCACCTGGCAGTCATGTACAACGGTGACCACAGGCGTTCCCTTGCCGATGGCTCCCATGGACATCATCATGGCGTACTCCAGGTCGGCATAGCCTTCTCCCTTCCCGATCCTCCAGCCTAAGACACAACATGAGAGTCAGGATCTCTGGCGTCTGAGCATTGCTCGGGAGTGGGTTTTTCACTAGGCTGCAAGGAAAGAAGCTTAAGCCCGGTATCCCTGGGCTTTCTGCAGAAATTTCCACAGGAACCCCCAAAAGCAGCCCACTGAAACAGACTTTCAGGTGATCAACAGGAATCACCCACACTGCAAACGCATTTAAAGGTCACAGAGACATTGAGCACACATTTACAGAAGCCTTATGTTAGCAGGACCCACATTCAAAGTCACGAAAAGAGCAGCTCTCAAAAAGACCACGAGCCAAGTTCTACTAAAAGCAAAATATTCCTAAGCCACTTAGAGGAAAGTCACTCTGCAGTGAGGGACGCGTGATGACTCAACCTTGTCTTCTTAGAAGCACTGACTGATTACCCAGTTCCATACTTCAGTTCCATCCCTCAGAGGGCGGTTTTGGCAGTACTATACTGACATGAAAGGCCTGCCTGAACCTAAGGGAAGCTAAGATCCAACTCACATGCTCTGCCCCTCAGGAAGCTCGAGGCAGTGCAGAACCGTGGCCTCTGAGAGTCACCACATCTGAGTGTCCCGGGAGCACTCACACTACGGCCGAGCACCCATACTACTGATCATGCTAACTTTGACGGTTAGAAACCTTCACCTGCGCATGCAAAGAAGCCAGCAAAGCATGTGCAGAGTCCACAGACAGCAGGAGGCAGATGAGCAGTAAGCGTGTGAGCAGTGTGCGACCTCTCCCCTAAGTCATGCAAGTCAAAGCAAATGAGACAGTCCTGTCCACTATCAGACTACAGAAAATGAAGAAGTCTGATCATTCCAGCTGGGAGCAAGGAAGAAGGGACAGAGGCCAGGCACAGCTGATGAGGACCATAAAGGAACTTGGCAATAGCTACCAAGGTTAAAAATCCACCCTTCAGTTCGGCAATGCCCTTCCAAGAATTATCCCACTGTCAACCTCAAAGGCACACCTGGACGATCAGACAGGATATACTTTAGCATCACTTGTAAGGGAAGAGACCACACCAAATCCTGGAAGGAATCACTCATTTCTGCGTCCACCCATCAGGGTCAGGTTAAATCCCTGTGGCACACACACGGGGACACTGCAGCCACCCAACATGAGGGGAAAATGGGGCCAGCCCATCCACACCAACAGACAAAGAGCTTCGAGATGCTTTACCAACCAGGGCACAACCACTACATGGGCGGTTATCCCTTTTGTGAAAGGGAAAGGAGGATGTGCATAAAACCTGTCCCTAGAATACATAAGCTAGCTGGGGTCTCATGCATGCTACATGTGCATGTACCCTAGGAAGCCCTGGCAGTGGACATCTGAGGATGGGCAGGAAAGATGCATGGGTGGGGCAGAAGCATGGCGCCTGCACTGCTTTACACAGGGGTTATACGAAGGGTGACATCTACAAACACTCTTTTCTTTTCTTATTTATTTTTTCTTTTTGAGTTGGAGTCTCAGTCTGTTGCCCAGGCTGGAGTGCAGTGGCAGGCTCATAGCCACCATAGCCTTAACCTGCCAGTCTCAGGCAGTCCTTCTGCCTCAGCCTCCCAAGTAGCTGGAACTACAGGTGAGTGCCACCACGCCCAGCTAATTTTTTGATTTATTATAGAGACAAAGTCTCTTTTCTCCTTTATACATCCCTGACTAAAAAAGAAAACCCCTAATGATCTTTTCAAAGAGGAGACCTTGCTAATTTCCCCCTCCAAGGGACAGCCCAGATTCCGCTGCCAGGCCTCCAGGTCTCCGAGAAGCAGCCTGGACCTATCAGAGGGCCACGCTGCATGGACACCCGTTCCCATCCTGCATCCTCCAGGCCCATCCAGGCCCATCTACCTCAATGCGCTCAGTGTAAGAGCAAGCCCTGAGGCCACGTTGGAGGCAACCTCTGCTCCAGGCCAGCGGTCCCTCCTCAGTCGCCTTCCTGTCAGTCCTAATCTGTTTCCAGCACTGAGCACATCACATCCTATTCTGGTCTAGCTCCCGCGTCTGCCCGGTCCACACACTGTGCCTGCCCAGCACACAGTAGGTGCTCAGTAGGCACGCTAGAAATGTGTGCTTCCAAGCGAGCACTGATCCTTGCTGGCACGGATGGGGCATCTGGACCTGGAAACACACTAAAAGCAAATAAAGAACGAAAGTGTCCCACACAGTAGCTCGGAGCGATGGCGAGGGAGAGCGGGCATTTGGGGTGGGACAGGGACCCTCTCAGCAAGGGCCTCAGCCTTGTGGACTAAGGACAGTGTGCATCACCTGCTGCACGGCAAAGCACCAGGCCTCGAAGGGAGTCTTAGTACCCCATGCCACCCCGGAGGCTGCTGCTTCATGGTACAAAGTCTAGTGTTCTTCCTTTTTCTGGAGCCCCTCCAGGACCAACTATTTACTGCCACACTGCAAATAAATTCACTCCAGTTCCAGTGAACTCCAGAACGAGAACAAATCTCTCATCACCTGAAGAGTGCCCTCACTTTATTTTTCCTGCTAAGAAAAGTGGAAATACTGTAAAGGTGTTGAGCTGGGGCCAGGAGGGGGAGGAACAAGTTGATTCTTCAACACAGGAGATAAACGCATGGCTTCAGGGACCAGGCACATGTCCAGGAAGAAGTGATTACCACCAACTTCCAGAAGCACACAGAGAAGCCAGGACAGTTGCTGTCAGAACAGGGTCTCCTTGGAGAGGTCCTGTCTTTCTTACCTTTCTCAGAAACGGCGACAGATCCTACCACAACTAAATCCACCAGGACTCGGGAGTCCAGGCCGACAGGGACGCTGTAGCTCCTCACACCCTACAGAGAGATGTGAGTTAGAGCGCTTCAACCACAGCTGGGTCCTCACTTCCCATTCAAGGCCAAGGAACATCTAGGATGTGGATCAACTGCCTGGCATTGCAGATATCCCGGCACTGCAGGTGTGGCATTTTGGGAGAACCAGGGTCCCAGAAACCATTTTGGGGGACAGTTCCTGCAATTTCTTTCCCAGGAAAGTGGTCGGGGGAATTGACAGCACAAATTCATAGGCCGCTAATTTCATAATATTTAGCAACAGTTTTTCCCTTTAAGGTTAAAGAGCTTAGGCAAGGGAGTCAGGGAAGTGGGGTTCAGTCCCTCTTAGCTGCAGGACCTCAGCAGGCTGAAGCACTCTGAGCCTCAGTTTCTCAACTGTGAGATGAGGATACCACCCCCTCCGGATCAAACTGGGGCTAGAAGTAAGTGAGATCACGGAAGCTGTGCTTTCAGCACATAAGACGTGGTTAGTAAACGTGTGTGACCTTTATTCAGCACAAAATACTGAAGGTCATTATCTTTATGTACAGCATTCTGACTTCTAAATAATTACTTATTTACCTGGAATGTACCCTGAGTATATCCATTTACACAAAATAATGGAGACCTATATATTTTTTTTTTTTGAGTCAGAGTCTCACTCCGTTACCCAGGCTGGAGTATAGTGGTATACTCAGGGTCACACCAGCGACAACCCACTGGGCTCCGGCAATCCTTCCACCTCAGCCTTTCAAGCAGCCAGAACTACAGGCACGTGCTACCACGCCGGGCTAATTTTTTATTTCTTGTAGAGATGAAGTCTTGCCAAGTTGCCTGGGCTGGTCTCAAACCCATGGGCTCAGGCAAACCACTTGCCTTGGCTCCCAAAGTGCTGGGATTACAGGCTGAGCCACTGAGCCCGGCCGAGACCTGCACTTAAAAGACAGGGAAGCTGAGTGTGTTCATGACCCTCATGACACGGTTACAGTTCATTCAGTCCTGTACCCAGTGGCAGTTGGCCATGCTGTGAGGTGGGACCCTGCCTGCCTGTGCAGAGCTAGGACAAGTCCCTCATAGGGCCTGTGTGGGGGGACACTATGGGGTCTCCCAATAGTCATGGCAGGGTGCTGGCCTGGGCGCCCTCCACCTCTGGAAAGCCTGTGTCATCGTAATCTCACAGGACCATGGGTGGGTGTCTACCCTGTAGAGGGTCTCACAGTTTGTACTTGTGAACACTGCCCATAGCCATGGCTTTATCTTATCTTTCTACCTTTATTTATCCTTTGTCCCTTTATCTACATCTTTTTAAATTTTTTTACTTTGTTGTATATATTTTTATAAGCCACATCAAATTCTGTTTTTGGAATAAAACAAGGTGTCAATACACAATAAAACACTCCATTTTTATACATTAGGCTGAAGTGGTAAATCCCCTAAAAGGGGAATCTCTTGAATTGTCTTACTTTTTATTCTCAGAAGATTAGGAAACAAATGACCTGAAGTTTACTTTAGGAATCTTAAGAGAGTCACCAAATTCTATTTCTTTAACTGCAAAATACAAACTTTATTATACTGTACCCTAAAGTAATATGTACATACTCTGGTTTTACGACATTGTGAGGCATTCAAGAAAACCCTATGTACACAATCATCAGCAATGATTAATTTAGGACCAGTGAGGTAACTTCCAGTTGGGCCTATTTTGGAAATTCCATCCTGACTCCCCAGCTGCTATGGGAGCATTTGACAGGCCAGGAATAAGAGAAGCCACACAGCTCTAAACAACATCACAGGAGAGTGCTAGATGGGGCCAGAGCACCAGAACACTCGTTCTCCCTTTCCTTATTAACAAGGAATTTATAATTTGCCAACTCAGTGAGAAACAGAAACTTACAGGAACAGAATCTGTTTAGAGTTTTCCTACTTGGCTCTCTCAATGACAGAACTGCCTAACACTTTAGGGTCTCTGTCCATTCAGTCCTGCTAAAAATAAATCTCAAGGTCAGGCATGGTGGCTCACATCTGCATAAGGCACTTTGGGAGGCCAAGGCAGGAGGATCACTTGAGGCCGGCCTGGGAAACAAAGCAAGATCCCATCTCTACAAAAAATAAAATAATTAGCCGGGTGTAGCAGCACACGCCTGCAGTCCCAACTACTTGGGAGGGCACTGGACCTCAGGAGTTTGAGGCCGCAGTGAACCATGACTACACACTACACTCCAACCTGGGTGACAGAGCGAGACTGTCTCAAAAAATAAATAAATAAATGTCAGCCCCGTGATACTATTTTACACTATGGTAACTCATCAGAAGTCTCAGCAGAGAACCGTTCATTCCTCAGTGGGTGACAGTTTCTAGCACTTACCTGAGAGGTGGCACATTTTCTCAAGATGTCTTTGGTTGCCCCAGGGGGTGGTGTGATCTTATTAAACAATCCCGTTCTCAGTCGTGGTGTTGGAACCAACAATGTTTTCTTGCTCTTTTAAAGAAAAATCAACCAACAAATTACAAAATTAAATGTTTAATCATTTCAGGAAGGGAAGAAAACTACCATCATCTGCAGTTTTTGATGTGTGCAAAGGAAGCCACTTGTTCTGAGCCCCAATTACATAATGTGTGGTGGCCAATTTCATGAAGACTCACCACTCGGCCACCTTGCTATGAAAGGCAGGTGTTTTGTAAACCTGCTAATTCTACTTCACTCGCCATTCAAGATTGCTATAGGTACCGGTGGTAAGAAGATCCAAACTCCAGTCAGTGCTAATGAAGATCCAACCACAGCTTTCCTGGGTCTTGGCAGCAAACACTTTCATCACAGCAATGCTGCCCTTCGACATGGGCACAGGCAACTACCTTCAAAAGTCACTCACACATCCAGCACACACATCCAGCTTGCTGCTCACCATGTCATGATGGAACAGAGCCGTAATTACGATAAGCAAGACACCAGCGGGTGCCGACAGCCCCCTTGGTCTCTAATGATTTTCAGAGAAAACCCCTGGCCCAAGGGTTCTCTAAGTGAGGGCCCGGCCCCATGGTGTACAGTAGCTGGGCTCTGGCAAGGCTTCTGGTGGGCCCCATGCTCATGAAAGTCTCAATCTACTGGCTACAAAATCTCTGAAATCATAAAAGCTGTAACATCTTTCAAGTATAGAATGGTCAATTTTAGTTTCTTTTTCTTTTTCTTTTTTTTTTTTTTGAGTTGGAGTCTCACTCTGTCACCCAGACTGGAGTGCAGTGGCCGTTCCTAGCCACTGTAGCCTTGACCTGCAGGGCTCCGGCGATCCTTCCGCCTCAGTCTTCCAAGTAGCTGGAACTACCGGCACGTGCTACCACGTCCGGCTAATTTTTGATTTATTGTAGAGATGAGGTCTCACCAAGTTGCCCAGGCAGGTCTCAAACCTGCGGGCTCAGGCAATCCACTCACCTCGGCTTCCCAAAGCGCTGGGATTACAGGCTGAGCCACTGAGCCTGGCCGATTTTAGCTTTTGAGCAGAAGATGACAACCCAAAGCCAATGAAGGATCGTAAGCTCAATGCGGCCGACCTCAGGAGAGGTGTTCTAACCACGAGGAGGGCATTTCAACACAGCACTGCTGTCGCCATGTGCTATCCGTACGGGTGGTGACAGGTCTGTGCCCACGCAGCGGCAGTTTCCTGTCCGTGCACCACACATCATGAGGGTCAGTCTTCCTTTTCTGGAAGGTGCTCGTCCCCTGGCTCAGTGGATCTTGCCCTCACTGTGCATCAGAACCACCTGGGGACTGTAAGTACTGCCACAGTGTAAAGAATGACACCAGAGCCCAATTTGGACCCTGGCATGGCCGGCAGTCTTCAAAGCTCCGGAGCTACATGGCTGTGTGGTCAGAGCAAAACCGCCTGCTTGCAGGGAGTACTGACTAGAAACAGTGTCCTGGCGCCCTCTAGAGGCTGACTCATAGGGCTGCAGCTGGGCCTGGGAAGTCAGCAAGCCCAGGCATCACTGACAACACGGTCAGACATGGTCACTGTCCCTAGGTAGGCATGGCCTGTGGCTCTGCACATTCTGTCACCTGCCTGCGCCCAGCTGGGGCTCAGGAACCTGGATTTCTACCCACCTTCCAGGTGACTCTTAAGCCCATTAAAGTCTTCAGACCCACCACGGAGCCTGCAAGCAGCAGAGCTCAGACCACAAATGTGGGTGTCTTTTCACCACCACATCCCCATGTCCAGCAAAGCCTGAAGGATGGGAGATTCCCAGCTCAGTTGTTCATCCAACCTGGATGAACAAAGACATGGAGCGGGAGGGAGGAGCTCAGAGACCCTGTCAGGTCACGCCCCTCACAGGCTGCCTTGTGGAGTCTAACCTCCACACATACTGAGGACCAGCTCTGGGTCAGAACTTGGCTCCACCATGCTGGACACACCTGGACACAGAGACTCTCCGTTCTGATGTCTTCAGCTGTCATGGGGAGCAGAGATTGCTCCCACAGGACAACTGCAGAACCAGATGCAATAACACAGGGAAAACATTTGGGCAGGACCAGGCCTTGCATGCAGTGACTATGACTGCTGTCCTTCCCTGCTGTTGCTGCCGTGATGGCTCCTTCCAGCTTGCTGGAGTTTCACTCACTGGGCAAGTAAGGCCAACAAGCAGCCATGCTTTTGGAAGACACTACACGGCAGTCCCTTCGGGGCTGAGCTGCACCAGCTGACATGGTGATCTCTGCACGACCCCCCTGAGGGGCCGGGAGCCTAGCCGCGCTCCTCTGGGTCCTGTAAGAATACTTTCTGGTGTTTACTCTGACATGCAGTGTGGGCCGTGCCCCATTTAACAGGGCTTCTCAGGAGTCGGCCTTGATAGCATTGGTGGGGAAACTGAGCCACCACACAAAGTGTGGTCACAAGGGGTACAATTCCAGAGATCCTGCACTGGGACGCTCAGTGCAATACTCACTTATATTAGCTGTAATTTGTTTCAGCAAGACAACACTAATTGTCACATGAGATCAAAGGGGTCGTCTGACTGTTATTGCTTTACTGGCTCTGTATTTAATTTATATGCTTATTTTGGCTTTATAGGTGCATAAGAGCCATGAGCATTAAAATTTGTAGCAAGTTTTATGTTTGTACATTTTAAATTAGATTATAATAAATTAATTTAAATCAACCCAGAGGAATTTTTTCCTTTTCCCTGAAAAGGGGCCTATATATTTCAGTTGGGAAACAGTGCTCTAATTTATATGCTCTGGGGATGCAGGTATCAGATTTCTTACTCATGATTTATCATGTTTCCAAGAATTATAACACTATACATGCAGCAAAATGAGTTAAATATGTTGTAATCTTTCTCCTCTGATGAAGTACATCAGAATTGAGACCCCCAGTGCTATCTTGTGTTTGCTTAGGAAGTGAGGAAAGAAAAGCTTATTACAAAGGCATGATGGAATTTTAAAAGTGTATGGGGCGACCCCCTTGGGTCCCCTGCCACTCTGGGAGCTTTTCTGTCCTCTCAATAAATCCTGCTTTCTCAAAAAAAAAAAAAAAAGCGTATGAGTGTTGAGAAACCTTTATGCTCTTAGTCACAGTCTTCACCGCATCAGAGCATGGCATCATAACAGGCGAGCATTTGTCATCTAGAAACAATAATTCTGCATTCAGTAAATTTGTCGGCATGCTCATGTCACACAGCAAGGTGGCGTGTTGCCTACTTTAGCTCTGACTCCTCAACTCTGGGACACCACAGCTTCCACCTGGGTTCCCTCTCCCTGTGCTAATGCCTGAATGCCATGTTTTCATTCTTTTTCTCTGAATTTAGAAACATTCAGGACTTCTGACCAAATGTTAAAGAGCTGACTAACTTCTGGACTGTTCTTGGAAACACACCACAGGGCACATTCTGTGCTCAGGAGAGTAGGAAGCGCCATCCTTCTACGGAGAAGTCTGCATGCATTCACTTGCCTCCTGAGGGCATGTCCCCAGGCGGCCAGGTCTCTGTTCGGCAAGTGAGATTACCTGCAGTGCCAGCAGCCGAACGCCTTCCAGTGGTTTATCAGGGTCCACTTTAACTTCCTGAGTTCTGGCAAAAACTTCTAGGTCTTTGATGTTTTGGCAAGCCAGGTAAGACCCCTGGTTAGGCAAACAGACAGAATGGCACTTACTTCAAGGACGAAGAAGCGAACGTGTTTCTGGGGCGCATCAGGGTTTACTTTAATGGTCCTGGCTATTTTGAACGCCTGCAAGCGAGGGAAGTGCTCCGCCGCACGTGAGGCCCCCTGTTTTAAAGGCAAGCGCATATCACTTAGAGGACAGCATCTCTCAGGTTGGCTGCAGTGGGCAGCTTGGCCCCAGTCTCACCCAGCAGGCAGGGGGCATAGATTCTAAGGTATGAACTAGGAGTCACCTAGAAACACTAAGAAAGTGGTCAGGGTAGACAGGGATTGGAGAAAAGTAACTTATGCTCATTTCGTTTGCGCTGAAATAAAACAAGCATTCCAGAAAGAATGCAAGCCATGAGTGCAGAGTTTGATGGATGCTCACAAAATGAACACACCTGTGTAACCCTCACCAAAATCAAGACATGGCACAAGCTGAACCCCTTCTCTCCGTCCTCTTTAAAGTGCTGTGTGACTGTGGATCCTGGGCCTTTACTCCTGGGCTTCATACACATTTCTCGGGAGTAACAAACGCACAACAAAACATAGTAACAACAAAAACAGATTTTTAAAGGGACAGGAAAGTCAGAACCAGCTTGGCTAAAGACCAGAGAAGGAGGGTCTGCTGCAGGGAAGCCAGGCTCAGGGAGAAAGTACAGCCACAGGGGGTGACGCAGACAGAGGGCTGTGTTCCTGAGGCCCCACCCAGCACGTTCAAATAGCACTCCCTTCTCTTCTCATGGAAAATATGCATGCTGGAGACGAAGCACTGTCCTGTTCCCTCTTTCAAGCAACCTTTTTTCTATCACCACTATTATAAACAGACATTTTGATTGTCTTATATTTGGAGCCTCTGGGAAACTGAGGCCCAGAGTCGTGAGACTGGCAAGACCTTCATTTATTTTGGTATGGGGGTTCATTACCCACTGAACCCCCATACTGATTCTGGGACCATGGCAGACCAGGGCATTGAGGGCTTCTGATCTCTCTGTCAAAAAACCCGGGTGAATGGTAAGTTTTACATTCACAACAAATTGTTAGTAAAGTACCGATACAGAGGCTGGGCTTCCTTCTCAGCGCCTGTTGGTTCCATAATGTTGTCAGGGAGGCATCCAATAGCTGCTTCTGGCAGAACGCATATTTCACTTTGTACCAAAGAGGAAGCGTAGCCTTAGTCACCTCAAGGGAAGACAACCAGCCCCTGCATAGAGAGGCAGGAGCCCTAGGAAGGGTGAGTAACACGATGAGGGATGTCTCTAACCACGGCAGACGCCCTGGTCAGACAGCTTTGACTTCGCACCACTGCCCACCGTCCACCAAAGTCTAACCCGCTGTACTACGTGTGGGAACTGTGTTACTCAGTCAGGAATATCCCCCTTTCCTTTTGACTACTCCACGAACACATCAGTACCTTAAAATTGGGGATCCTGTGGTGAACAGGTCGAGGAAAGTCAGCCAAGTTTTCTGATTCCATGTAGTCCCAAATGCGCTCACGAATGTCCTGCTTGGAGACACCTAGTACAACAAAGGGTTGTGACTTATTAATAAGTCACAACCCAAAAGGGAATTCCATGTGGTGTGCAGGCTTGGGTCACACTGCCTGTTCCATGGCTCCACCTGCAATCCTCAATACCAGTTCTATGACCATGCCATGGTGGTCTTCTGTCTCCATGTCAAAATATCTGTGCTAAGTTTTAGACGCACAATAAATTGTTAGTAAAGTCCCAATACAGAGTAAATTAAACATGACTCAAGTGTTTAATCCAGTTCTATTAAACTTGCAGCCGTAGAACAAAACACCACCCAAACCATTCCCAGTGTTCTTGTTTGGTCTCACCAGGTCTGCTGATGTGAATAAACTCATCTTAGTCTCCTCAGCTGTGACATGAGTACAATTAGTTTATTATTGCCTTAAAACTGAGTGACCTGAAGATCAGCTGTGATGTGGGATCAGTAACTACAATTCCTTTTATTAGTAAGGATCTTATTTATGTATTCTTTTTTGATTTGGAGTCTCATTCTTTCCCCTAGGCTAGAGCACAGTGACATTATCACAGCTACTGCAGCCTCAACCTGCTAGACTCAGGTGCTCTTTCTGCCTCAATCTTCCAAGTACCTGGTACTACAGGCACACACCACCACGCCTAGCTCAATTTTTTTTCTTTTTAAAATTTCTGTAGAGATGAGGTCTCACTATGTTGCCCAGGCTGGTCTTGAACTCCTGGGCTCAAGCAATCCTCTCTCCTCGGCCTCCCAAAGTGCTGGGATTACAGATGTGAGCCACTGTATCCAGCTGAGGGTGGGAAGATCTTTTATTCTATATCCAACTTCAAGAATGCATTTTTAGGTTACAAGTATGCTTTAATGATTTGATTAGGGTGGAACAAATAAAATTTGCATTAACCATGTGCTCCTCTTGGAGTAGAGAAATGTAAAAATTAACCAGTTAAGTAGAAGAAACAAAACCAGCACGTTCTAGAATACTGAATGCTTTTAGTGGTCCAGGGCTATCCCTGTGCTTGTAAGGAAGTTGGTTTCAAAGGACTCTGCCTACTACCTGACTTGCTTTTCTAACAACTCATTATATGCCAGGGCTGTAAAATTTTTTTTTTTGAGTTGGAGTCTCACTCTGTCGCCCAGATGAGGTCTTGCCAAGTTGCGTGGGCTGGTCTCAAACCCATGGGGTTAGGTAATCCACTCGCCTCGGCCTCCCCAAGTGCTGGGATTACAGGCTGAGCCACCGAGCCCAGCCTGGGCTGTGAACTTTTAAGCACAGTGTTTCCTATGTGAAAATTGTATTCAACAGTATACTCTCACTTCCAGTCCTAAAGTTGACTCTGTTACTCCCAGTGTGGAGGAGTGTATTTAGCCTAGGCCACCCTAGTCTCCACAGGGTACATGTCGTGTCGCTGAAGTTGGAAGGTGAAGGCAGACTTCTTCTTGTCAATGTGCAGGATGACTCCACATATGCTGACCAGGAGCAGGAGATCACATACCGTGGTGGGCAACCAGCTGGCTTCCAGTCCTTTGCTACTGACGTATGTTCCGCACCCCATGGACACAAGTGTTGTGAGGTTACACGTCCAGTTCTGGGGCGCAAGGGCTGGACCTGAATCTCCCTGGAGAGCAGGCATCCAGGGCCTGGCACAGCCCGGCCGAGAGCCTCCTGGAGCGCCCTCCACAAATTCAAAACGCAGCTCTGGGTGAGCTCAGATCTCTAAAGATGAAAGCTGAGATTACCCAGCTGTCAGCTGGGGAAGGGCCACATCTCGGAGACACAGGCTGGGCCACCAGGCAGCTTTCAGAAGTTGGCTTGTTCCTTCCTGCTGGGCACTTTGCACATGCCAGTTAATGCCAGAAAGTGCATTACTCTTCAAATGGCTCCCTCACTACTGATCCCTCTGACACAGGTGTGCTGAGTGAGCTCTGCTGGCAAAACCTCTCCCTGCTGGCCACTTCGGCCTCATCTCTGACATTCCTCACTTTAAATTCAAAGAGTGGCTCACCCACTGCGGTTCCCTGGCCCCAACACACCTGGCCGCCTTCCTGCCCCTTAAGGTTCTGCTGCCTCCCCCTCCGGAAGCACTCCCTGACTGCTCAGTCTCAGGCAGACACTCCTCCTTTAGGAACCCAGAGTATCCTGTTTTGTTTTTCCAAACAGAAACAATTACATTACCACAACTATTACAAGTTTATTACATGTATCACTTTTAACAACCCAGAGGACCTAGGATAGCCTCAACACTGTGCAGGATACCACGTGGGACACAAGAAATGCAGAAACAAACATGTAATTGACTCCCATTTATAAAGCAATGGAATAATAGGCCGGAGGGGAAACCTGAGAAATGAAAGGGCAGATCTTTGTCCTTGGAAAGCTATGAAAACATGGGAAATAATTAGAATAATAAAGGTGACACACATAAATGTGTGAAATGCCTGAAACCTGCTCTGTAACTGTCTGTTCCCCGGGGGCCCTGGCGGGGCAGCGGGGGTCTCTTCGTCCTTCAGCCTCCAGCTCAGCCCTGGCCCTCGGCAGGCATGTCTCTCACAGTCCCTGTCCCCATTCTGCTGTTTCACCGTCTGATCACGGCACCGTTTACACGTTGCACAGGCAGGGAGGGCGGGAGTGGGTCTGTTCACGGCTGCGGATCCGGGTTTACAGGCCCGGGCACTGTCTGTGCCAGGCAACCCCGCGTCACCCAGCCAGGCTCTTCCCTGTGGAGACCGATCTCCTCTGGCCCGGGCTCCCCTAGAGGAAGCCTCTTCACGCTGGGGCAGGGCCTCCAACGGAGGCTTGCATTAAGACGGCAGAGACGCAGCGGCCCCGGGGTCAGGTTAAACTTGGCGATCCTGCCTCTGCCGCCAGCTGTGAGCCTGCTTCTCCGAGCTCCGCCCGCCAGCTCCGGCACCCGCACGGCAGGGGGCCCTCCTGCCCTACTTCCGGTTGTCCCGACTCTTCCCGACATCTTCATCCGGGCTCCGACTCGGAGCCCCGCAGACCCTTCCGAGGCCCCCGTCAGCCCCCGGCGGCCGCTCGGATGCCCCAGCCCTCTCCGGCGACTCTTCAGAGTCTCCCGCCAGCCCCGAGGGTCCCTCTGCGCCCCCGCCCACCCCCGAAAGTCCGCCGCTCCCCTCACCCGCCCTCGGCTCCATGGTGACGTCACCACCGCGCGGCGCCTCTCGGGGCGGAGTCCGGCGCAGAGTGACGTCATCCGCCTCGCGCCTGCGCGCTGGTGAGGACGGAGGTGGTTGCTCGGAGGCCAAGGGCCGTGGGCGGGGTGCGCGTGCGCGTGCGCGTGCGGTGCCACGGCTGGTGGGCGGGACGTGGCGCGCAGAGCCGGTCGTTATTCAGCGTCTCCTCTGACAGGCGTTTGCCGACGTGGGCTTAATGACGAGGACAAGCTCCTGGACTCTCGGAGGCCGCTGCCCATTCAGACACACCCACCTGCTCTCCCAGTCCCGAGAGGCCGCCTCCTCCGAGAAGCCGGCTGGATTATTCTTGCGAGACCCTTCGGGCGCTCAGTGTTTGCACATGGGGGTGCGGCCCCTCAGCTGGGCACTTCTCTCAAGTGTCTGGCAGGCGGAGTGTCTGGACCTGCCCAGCCCCTGGGTGACTCCCATGCAGGGGTCCGAGGTCGCTCTCTGAGAGACTCCAGAGCGCGTGCTCGGCTGCACCTTTCATTTTGGCCCCGATCTAAGGGCCAGGAAGCGGCTGGGAACACCAGGCTGCACGGACAGCCACGTCCACGCCCATCCGGACTCCGGGGTGGCGGACAACAGGGACGGTCCATCTGGCCGTCTTCCTCATTGGCTCCTGAGGAAGACGGCCACCGCCCCCCCCCCCACACACACATGGGAGTGGGGCGGGGGACCAAACCGCTGTGAGAGGTGGCAGACCCTGAGCACCGGGCCCAGCACATCACACGCCCTCCCAAAGTGGTGTCCTGCACCTCACAAGACAGACAGCAGCACTGTAATGCCCACGCTACAGAGACAGCGAGGTTCGGGCTGCAAGCCACTTACTCCGGTCTGGAGGTAACCAATCCCGGGCCCCCGCCTTCACCAGGACCCAACTGATGGCAGTAATCATAGGTGCCACCACGTGCCAGGCCTTGAGCTGAGGCCCCTTTCTCCACAAGAAGTTCCCCAGGCTTTCCTGGAGGAGCCAAGCTTGCCATCGCCAGAACTCGAGGCAGCAGACAGAGATAGCGGCCACTGTCCCCGGTGTTTTGCAGGAAGCCTGGAGTGCTGACAGCCTGATGAGGGCACTGGGAGGGAGCTGGGAGGTGGCTTTTCTAAAGGGAGAGAGGACACGGAGACGTTGTCTTTGGGCTTCTCTATCCTGCAGATCTTCAAAACAGGGTTCAAGGGAGGCATGGTGGCTCACAGCTGCAGCCCCGGCTCTTAGAACAGGGAAACCCTTTCTCAAATCTGTCTCCACATTTAACTGGGGTCAAGGATTTATCCAGAAGGGGAGGAATGTAGAAAGCAAGCACTGGGAGGGGCGGGGGGGG